GGGGCTCCTTAGGGACTTTATGGCTTTGCTTTGCTCACGTTGCTGACCTGTTCTGTTCCCTTATTGGTTCACCCCACCGTGGAGGGTGGTGGGGTCAAACCAGGCTCACTCCCTGCCATGTGTCCCCAGAATTGTCCTCCGTTGATGTACTCTCCAGAGAAGGGACATCATGTCTCAAGTTGTTGTTGGCCCTACAGTCTTCTCTGTGTGCCCGGGCAGATTTTTGCAAATAATGGTGAATAAAAAAAGTTACCATTCGTTGTTATTCCCATTCATTCTAATATCTCCAAATATGAAACACATGTCTTTTTATACATAATTAAGCTTAAACAGTCTTTATAATTAATTTGCTTTCATTGGTAATTATACCTTGTGGCGATGGTATAGTGCCCTCTTAGTATTCATGAATTACAAATGGGAAAAAATTTAAGCAGTCCACACTGAAAGGAGAAAGAAAGAGAGAGAGAGAGAGAGAGTTGAGAGAGAGAGAATATTTAAAACGTAAAGGGTGGTTACGGTTGAACAATGCAAAATGAAGTTTGACAAGAGTTCATTTACTGATGAACAAACCTTGTCTGATAATTGAGATTAACAGAAAAAAATTATCATCAAGTATTACATTTTATAATACAACAAACATGCAGATCACAATGCTAAGCTCTGGGTTTTGGGTGAGCTCTTATTTTATCTTAAATATTATACGTGGTCTGTTACTTTCACTTGGCTTTTGAATTCTCTCTGTGTGTATAGTAGGTTCTTGTTTGCTAATATTTTCATGTATTTGCTTTTGTACATGTGTGTTTGTGTATGCAAGGTGTTCCTAGGGCTGCCAACTGTTTCCTAAGGACACTTCCAACAGCAACTTCACCCAATCCACCTCGGGTTAATTCTGCCTGTATCTGGACCATCAGTTCTCAACCTGTGGGTCACGACCCCTTTGGGGGCTGAATGACCCTGCCACAGGGTTTGCCTGATGCATAACAGTAACAAAATTACAATTATGAAGTAGCAATGAAAATAATTTTATGGTTGGGGGTCACTACAACTTGAGGAACTGTATTAAAGGGTTATGGCATTAGGAAGGTTGAAAACCCCTGATTTTCTGAACTCACCAATGGATAGGTATTCCCATAAGGGAGATACATGGAGGATAAATTATGTTGATTTAATAATGATGCTGAAGTAATTACAGGTGATTACCCTTTAATCAGTCTCTTGCCTTCCCTCCTTTATTTCCCAGTTCCTGCTCAGGAACCAGGTGAGCCTGGAGGCAGATAATTCAAAGTGCTGAAATTGGGGCAGATGTGGATTTCAGATCAGGCTGTGCTGTGTGGAAAGAGTGGATCATCCTTGCTTGGAT